TAAAGAATTTTATTTATCTACATAAATATCTTATTCTTTTTTTTTCTTCTTTTCTTCTCTTTTGCTTATATTATAGAAAGTTATGAAGGAAACAGCATAGAATTGCTATGATACTAACGCTAGTTGGACCGTTTCACGTAAAAATAAGGGAAAAGAATTGAAATGCAAGGCGACATTTGAAGGTAAAAAAAAAGAAATATAAATGCAAGTAAGACTACGTTCTTTTTTCTTCTTCTCTTTCTACTCTTCGTCGCCATCTATCATGGTAAGGATATTTGAATCAGGTGAAATGTATTGAAAACCTATTTGACATTGGGATTTTTTTCTTTTACATCATTCAAATGGTCGATACGATTGACAAATTGTTTTACTCATTAGAAACACATATTTTGTTATTTATTGAACTTTCCTATTCGTTTTTTACATATATATTTATACGCAATAATATAAATATTTATTTATAATATATATATATAAGATTGTATAGTATTTTATTTCTAATCAAAGAACATAATAAGCATAGATGAGAAACAAATGTGTTAATTAAGTAGGTGGATGTCTAAAGAAACATAAAATGATTTAAAGGACAAGTCTACGTCGTGTAAAAGATACAAATGGAAGTTATTGACACAATTCAATTAATTTTGTTTAGTTAGACGAGAAGAAAAAGGAACGAGAAAAAAAAGAGAAAAGGAAAAACCTGACAACGTTTACTCACACATTTGATGATATATATGCAACTCTTCATATCATTTACTCATCTTCAGCCTCCACGTTTTTCTATTATATATAATCATTGATTACTGTATATTCGGTATTATTATTATTATTCCTCTATAGACAAATACCAAATAATGACACAATCAAAGGATATATATATGGCTGATATGACCAATGATGAAATTGAATTATTGAAAAGACTAGAAGAAGAGAATAGGTAACAAAATATTATAATATTTTTATTTGATTTTACTTAAATTTCTATTGAGCTATATCTTTTTTCTTCTTTTCTTTTTAAAGACGTATCGAATATGATCTGAAATCACCTACAAGTGCAATACTTAATCCGATAACAAATACACGTTCACCTGAATTACATCATAACCAAGGACAACAACTAGATTCAATTTCTACTGAAATCAATAATTTAACTATTGATAAAGATGGTAGAAAATTCAACTTAAAATCACAAATAATTTTATATAAATATTTATTTAAGGTAATTTGGAGAATGAATTGGTTGTATGGAATAGAATAATTAATAATTGGACGATAACTATGAAAAAAAATCCGATATGGATTAAAGTAAAATTTTTATTTATTTAAAAATTAGATTAAAATAAAAAGATTTATGTAGGATATTATTCGATTTGGTGTACCAGTTCATTTTCGTCCATTACTTTGGCAATGTTTAACTAAAGTTGAAACATCAAATGCAAAATATAAATATGCTGAATTTATGAAAATGACATCACCATGTGAAAAAGTTATTCGAAGAGATATATCACGAACATATCCACAACATGATTTTTTTAAACAAAAACATGGTCTTGGTCAAGAAAGTTTATTTAATGTGATGAAGGTTCGATGATTATAAAATAGGATGATAATTAAAAGAAATTCTATTTTAGGCTTATTCATTATATGATCGTGAAGTTGGTTATTGTCAAGGTATTGGTTTTATTGTTGGACTTTTACTTATGCATGTCAGTAAAATAAAAAAAAATATTTTTGAATATTTTTTTTTCTTATAAAAATAGATGCCAGAAGAAGAAGCATTTGCAGTATTAGTATCTATTATGCAAGATTATACAATGCGTGATATGTATAAACCTGACATGTTTTATTTGGGTCTTTGTATATATCAACTTGAATGTATGATTCAAGTATGTTATTTATGTTTGTATATTTTTTCATTGACTTGATTGATGAGTGATCATTATAATAGGAAAATTTACCTGATCTTTATCGACATTTTCAAGCAGAAAATTTTCATACGTCAACGTTTGCATCGAGTTGGTTTCTAACATTGTTTACAACACAACTACCATTAAATATTGTTTGTCGTACAATGGATCTATTTTTAAGTGAGGTAGATTATTCAATATAAATTTTCATATTTCTTTTTTTTTCTCATTATAAATATATATGTATGCAATAGGGTATGGAAGTGATCTTTCGTATTGGTATCGGTCTACTTGAAATTCATCAAGATGAATTAATGCTTTTATCGATGGAAGATATGCTTAAGGTAACCTTTTGAACATCGTTTTGAAAGAAAAAAGAAAAACTTATATATGCATACGTGCATGTCATAATCAATCGAGCAACTATCGTCATTTGTATATGTATAGTCGATCTTTTCCTCTCCCTCTTTCACAAAGATGTAATAGATGAGTCGACAGTAACAAGCTCACGCGTCAGCTGTTTGTCATATCATTGCACGTACTATTCTTTCCTTTTTTTTATTTTACACCTTTCACATACTGGTATTTTCTTTTCAAATACGAGAAGTACACATTGAAAAGAACAAAATAGAATAAGTACTAACGAACCGTTCTGTGTGGTATATTATATACATGCATATGTATGTTTATATATATATATAATATAATATAATGTATTATATGTGTGCTGAATCAAGTCAGTTGTGTAAGTACGTATATGTTTCGATTCATTGAGGTATAGAATAAAAAAAAATGCGAGTAGAGGAAAAAAAAAGAGGAGAGAAAGAGAATGAAATGACACCACCGCTGCTGCAACCATTGTGTGTGTGGTGTGTGTGTGTGTGCACACATTTTGTTCTGTCCAAACGAGGTGGAGACATTTGCAACTCACAAATAAAAAAAAAGAAGAGAGAAGAAATAGGCATCCGTATCGATCTTTGCGTCTCATCAACATACATCGATTTATACGCATGGATCGTCGGTTACACGCTGTTCAAGATCGTCTCGCCGAACAGTGCGCACAAACGTTCAAAACTGTTCAAGGTTCTGTATCCGCTGTTACATCAGTAAGTTTTTCAAAAATCTAAAAAATTTATAACAACGTCAGAAAACAAATCGTAAGATTTGTTAATAGAAAAGAAATTTAGTTATATAATAATAATAACAATAATAGTATAACAGTATTGCTTAAGGAGGTAAGGATATCATTTGAAAATATACGTTCATATTCGAAATTTACTCCGTATAGTAACCTTGATGTCTGAAAATAAGTACACATTTCATTCTGTATAATTCTATTTAAATGAGTACTCAATCAATTATTTGTTTTAGTATTTTCAAAAAGAGGTACCTGCTAAGCATGAGACAGATCCTGAAACATTACTTCAACGTGCATTTACATTACAATATAATGGTAAAAAAATGAAAAAGTATGTAAATATATACATTTGTATATTAAATGATGTTTACTAGAATATTATTTATTCATTTTATATTAGATTAGAAAAAGAATATACAGTTATTCGTAAAGAAGAACAAGAAGAACAAATCGAAATACGTGTATGTACTTGAATTTTATTACCTCATGTTATATTTCAATTTTATATTCAATAGAAATTACGAAATGAGAATCGTTTATTAAAACAACGAGTGGAAAATTTAGAAAAAGTAAAAACTAATTGTTTTTTATCATTATTTTCTAACAAAACATATGTAACATATTTTGTTTTGTTTTCAATAGGAAAGTGCTACACTTGCAAATCGATTGATTGAAGGTCAAGTATTAAATGCACAATATGCTGAAGAATCTTATCAATTAAAACGAGAAAATTGTACTTTAAAAAAACAGATTGATGAAATCAATTGTTTAAATATCAATAATAATCATCATACTTATATTAATAATAATACAATCGAAACAAAAAATTTAAATTCATCAGATTTTCTAGTAACATCAAATAATAATGAATTAGATGTTTTACGTGAAACAGTTAATAGATTGACTATGGTAAGAATCTTTCGTATTATTATTACATAATTCTCTTTATTTTAATCTCTTTTGAAGGAAAATCGTCGTTTACAATCGACACCTAATATAGAAATATCAACATTACAAGAAGAATTAACTCTTGTTAAAATGCGCGATGCTGAAGCTCAAATGAACATGAATGAACTTCGTCAACGTATAGCTGATTTAAATCGTGAATGGCAATTACACGACAGTGAATGTAAAACAGATCGTGCAATGGAAAATCATTCAAATAATAATAATGATGCTTATGATTTAATCGCACATGAATTAATAACATTAAAAATGCGTGAAGCTCAAACAGATTGTGATAATAAACTTCTTTCACAAAAAATCATGGATATTGAAACACAAAAACAAGTTTTACATAATCAAATTAAACGACAAGATGATGAATTACAACGCATTCGTCTTGAACTTGATGAATGTCGAATACGTGAGAATGAATTTCGTATACAAATAAATGATATTAAAAATCAAATGAATGATGGAGTACTAAGAGTAAATTAATAAAATATTAGTAAAAGAAATTTTTATGTTTATTTAATTATTCTAGCAAAAAGAAGATTCAATGATGTTACGTATTCGAGAAGCGGAAAGTACTCAAGCTGTCGGCGATTTACGTCAAAGAATAGCTGAACTTGAAATTCTAGTAAGAAGAAGACTAAATTAAATTCTTTAAATATTTTACTTGGTTTTATAGAATCAAGAATTAATAAGTCGTGGTCAAATCATGGATGATGGTGATTTTCAAGATAAATTTGCTGAACTTCAAGATGAGGTTTGTGTTGAAATTTTCATATCTGATTTCGAAGAAAATTATTTATTTATTACAGCCACAACGAGAGTATTTCAGACGTAGTAATTCATTACCTATAGGCTATTAAAGTGTGTGTGTCATATTTTCCTAAAGTAATTATTATGAAGCATAAATGCTATGTACTAATTAATAATACTATTTTTCAATTTTATTAATCGAATAAATACTAATATGTCTATATTTTTAGGTTGTAGGCCTACGATTAATGCAAACATTACAACGTCGACAATCGATATCAACAGATCCTACTCGAATAGACTATGAAGAAAGTGAAGATGAAAGTATACCTTCATCTCCATTAACATTCTCGAATACGGATAATCATCATTTAAGTTCTTCAACTGGTATTTATTCAAATTTAAATATTGAACCTAAACATCATCTTCGTCAATCAACACCTTCATTAGCCGTAAATAATCTAAAAACACAATGTGCTACTTCATCGACTATACTTTCTTCTTCTCAACCATCATCCGTACCATTATTTACTAATTGAAATAAAAGTCGAATGAATATCATTGTGGTGCTTTGTTTTTTCGTTTTATCGTTTTCTTTTTTATTGTAAATAACTTTTTTTTCTGTTTATTATCGCAATATGTTCTATTGAAAATTTTAGTTCAGAAACTAAATGCCGGTTTCATGAGAATAAAAAACAAATATGAATTCAATTATTTTTATTTATACAAAATTAAGTTGTATTCGTTTGATTAGAAAATAAACTTGCAAAACAAACTGAACAGTAAGCATCACCATTGTGTTCAGCAAAACGTTGATTCCGTAATGAAGTTGAACAATTTGTACATAAGAAACATTCATTATGAAATGGATGATTACGATAGAGTACACCATCACTGACAATTGCCTATTCAATGTGTATAATTAAATCAAAGATTTTTTTAAAATTATTTATAAATATCAAATCTTTTGCAATAAGGGAGTGTCTTTTGAACGTATAAGTTTATTAATATCCGAGGTATTTCATTTTTATGTCTGCATCCTTCAAAAAAATTACTCCTATTAAGTTTCAAAAATATTTGCTCTCGGTAGACTTCAGTAAATTAAAATCATTCTAATTAATATTTTCAATAGTAATACATCTGTATCGTATTTCGTTAATTAAAGAGAACTAAAACAAAAAGAATTGAATTCAATACTTTGTGACATTTAATACAATAAATAGCAACGAGATGCATGTAACATGAAATACAAAGGAAATATTGATCACGGCAACGAAAATCTACATTTGATAATGATTGTTGACATCCATTACATATAAAGCAAGATTGATGATAGAATTTTTTATCATATTCTGTACATTTCTCACCTAATATAGAATATTTAATGAAATAAGAAATTTATCTTTATAAAAATATTAACCCGGTTCTAATGTTTGATTACATCGATAACATCGTTCAGCATATTCAATAATAAAACAATGACGACAATATAATTTTTCATTTCGATAAGCAAATTTATCATTTATTAAAGATTTATTACAAATCGAACAATTAAAACAAGTATTATGCCATGTTATATCTTGAAATATACATCCCTAAATTAAGAAAAATATGAAATATTTTCTTTCGAAATAATCCTACTTGTGTTTCAATACCAATTATTTCTTTACATTTAAAACAATAATTCGAATATTTTTCTTCAAAACATGACAAACAAACAGCAAAACCATCTCGAATTACATAACGGTTGTCCGTTAGATTTTTTTCACAATACCAACATAAAAATGAATTGGAGATATTTTCAGTCATAAAACAAAATTATTTTTTGAATTAAAGATGCGCTAAAAGATTCGAAATTTATTAATAATATTTTTCATATTTATGAACAGAAGTGTAACAATTGCTTACAGATTCTTTTTTGAGATATTCATAGTTATTGCCCACAGGCTATTTGGATGTAATAACAACTGTTTGTTACAAGAATTCGACTAAACAGCTGTCCGTCATTCAAAAAGGACTGACTATGTCAATATCGGTAATGATATTATCAAATGTAACTCCTCAGAAAGTTTTGATCTACTTCTTTAAGTAACGACGTCATTTTATTCTAAAAAGAATACAATAGATTGATATGAACATTGAAATATCATGGAAAAATAAGGATCATTAAACAAATTTGTATAAGATAACATAATTAATTTTTTGTCAATCTATTGTGATTAATCCAATTAAAAAGTGTCTGACAAGGTTTCTACAACACCCACACTGTTTTTTTTTCATTGCTTCTATCACGACCTCATTTCCTTATGCCCATCATCATTACCAACTCTATATAATCATGAAAAAATCATAAAGACCTACTTTCATTTTCTTTTTGTGTCATATTAGTTATGTCTAATATTATTGAACAACTTACTCTAACATCTCATTTTCTTAATATTGTTGTTGGACTACTTCTGTTTATATTTGGTGTTACTGGTAATTTTTTAACAATATATATATTTACTCGAGCTACATTTCGTAATGCTCCTTCTGTTCGTTATTTATTAGCTGGTTCTGTAGCTAGTTTAATTCAACTTTTTCAAACACTTTTACCACGAATTCTCGGTGATGGTTTTGGAATTCCAATTATTAACTCAAGTACTCTTCAATGTCAAATTCGTATTACAATAGCATCTGTTGCAACATTATGTTCTATATCCTTTCCATGTTGGGCATCATTTGATCATTTTATTAGTACATCTAGCAATGCTGCAATACGACACTATTGGACATCAAAAAAATTAATTTATCGTGCCATTTTGATTACAGTTATATTTTGGTTGATTGTTTTTCTTCCAGTAAATATGGTCAGTCGAGCTGTTGGTGAATCTTGTATTGGCAATAACATTATTTTAAGTTCTGTTTATTCATATGGTATTATTCCATTAACCTATAGTATACTACCTATTATAGCGATTATTTATTTTAATCGAGGTATTGTACGTCATTTAAAACAATCAAGAATTGTTGGTTATAATCAAACAAGAAATCGTTTAGTAAAACAAGTTCGACGTATGTTAATACCACAATTAATGATCATTATTATATCAGGAATACCATTTAGTATTAATACAATTTATAGTATATCAACAAGTTCAATACATAAAGATTCTCTTCGTTTGGCAATAGAAAGTCTTATTCTTCAACTTGTTCGACTTTTATTTTATTTAAATTATGTCTGTTCATTTTATATTTATATTCTAATGTCAAGTGAAATTCGACAAGAATTCAAGAAATGTTTTTGGAAACAAAATTTAATATTACCACAAAATTCAACAATTAATGCTTCTAGAATTATACCCATCAAAACTTAAAGACTAATCTCGTTTTTTGTTAGATCGTATTACAATATATTTAGCTTTTCTTTAAAGTATATTTTAGTGAAAATTGATATAGTTACAATGAAACCTAACGATGACATACACTTTATAATGGAAGAATAACTTTAATCTATAATAAACTTTTATAACTTCAGTAACCTTCATGATTGCGTAAGTTAAGACACATTGAACAAACTAATTTATTCGCGTCAGTTACAGAATTACTCTTCTGGGTTTCTTCATGTAACATCAATAATTAATCTTCTTTAATTTATTCTATCTGACCTTGAAGGTTTGTTACTATAGAAATTCATCATTTAGAAATGCTAACTGATAACTAAATTACTCTAATATCAATTCATTAATGTCAGATATAATTCTATTTCTTTACAACGCAATAATAAAAGCTTAAAAAATGAATTACTTTATAAGCATGATTTTTATCCTTGAATGAAGGAAAAAGTATTTCCTTATCGTATCAGCATTATATGCACTTACTATTTAACATCTACATGAACGAATAATTCTATTTATATATACCTTCAACCTTTTAAATTAACATATTATTCATCAGATAGTTTTTTTATTAATATTAGATCATACGAGAAAAAATATATCTATTCAAAATTTGTTGCTTTTTTTAATTTTGTAGTCATAATCAACTGCATGAAATGCAAGATCTTCCCAATAGATTCGTTTTCCACGTTGTTGTTGTTGTTGATCACTTTCATCTGTTGATACCGATAATAATGAACTATCTTTTATTGAATTTAATAGTTGATTTTGATTCCGACGTACTGGTAAATCAACTAAAGAAATAATTTATAAAAAAAAAGAAACTAGTATCATTTGTTTTCTTACATAAATAACTAGCAGCTGCTGAACGTGGTAGATATATCTCTTGATTCTTGTTTAATTCTGTTTGATATTGTTCAGCATAAAATATAGGTACGAAAAATAATAAGATTAGTAAAAAGGTATACATATTTGTATGTATTAAATATACGCTTTCTTATCTGAAAAGAAATAATATTAGGAAAAAGAAATAATTGCATCTTATTTGATTTAAGGTAAATCTAAGGACTGAATACATTATGATAAAATCCATGTTTCTTATAAACTAAAGTGCAGACGAGATATTCCATTTTATAAAAGGAAAAAAAACTATATCCTGTTATATTAGATTTCTACGTAGTATAATAAGATTCTACAATTGTTTCACCTAGAATACTATACTCTTTTGATTGATATCATGAACGACAGGAACGGATCTAGCTATTAGGCGAACCGGCGACCGTCACTCCCTCGAAAATAGATACTTCAACAAATACTGAAAATAGGTTTCTCTTCTAAAAAAATAACACTATACTCTCCACCTTTTTTTTTATAAATCGCCATCGCTTGATGAACGATAAAATGCATATATAGAATTCTCTCACTTAAATGAACACAAAAGTACTGATAATCAATTTAATAGAATCAACGTACTGAAAACAGGTAAAGATATATAATATAGATCTAGAGAATATGAATACGGAGCAAGCAAATTTACTAGATGATTTATTTTTTTATATCCAAAGATAAATTCCTCAAGCGTAATCCTCATTATTTTTTAATTGGAAAGTAGTATTCATTGATTTCTCTATAAATATTCAATAAGTTAACTAATCATCCGAATATCCGCAAGTTCAATTGTAATCTAGCGACATCTATCAAACACTAATTTATTTATTTTTTATTTAAAATTAGAAAAAACAACTAATATTCAATTTAATAACATAAAAATATTTATTCTTTAATGAAAATGTAAAAGATTAATTTTATTGGTAATATGATTGTCAAAAAAAAATTCTTCTCTATTGATCATTTACATCCGATACATTGATCGAAATAAATCGAATCTATCACTTCGTTCAAGGTCATCTGTATTTGTTATGACAGATTATATTCAACCAGCTGGACGAGGTTTATCGCATGTAAATTAAAAACAAAAACATGTTTGTCTTAGTCTTTTCAATATCTTTACTTTTTTTTTAGCTGCAAGTTGGTTCTATAAATGATGCTGATAGTTTCGATACCGATCGTTTAAGTGGTTCAGTACGATATGATGAAGAAGATGATGATCAACAAAATCCACCTTTAGATAATAATAATGTACCTCAATCGATGATGAATTA